GCAAGATCAGATTGGACGAATAACAATTTCTTCAATTTCAGATCTTTGAAACTTTGACATTTAGGAATTGTACTTTGACATACAAGGAATCTAACGTTCAACAAACATTTCAAGGAGAGTCATTTTCATAGACGTGGCTTCAACGTCAAAGTTAACCTATAAAACTGAGAAGAGACAAAGAAAACAACTTTGTAAGCAAGATTTATTTCATAATTTATGACCGTTACCAACACCAATATAGCAAATAAATACATGATAGTAAAAGAATGTTTTCACATAAAATTTGTTTTTGCATCGAATATTTCACATTAATATTTTATTCTTCTAACCTAACGACGGCTTTTTTCTTCAAATGCGTGAAGTGTAATTCGATTTTTCTCTGGTTTTTGTTTAAGCTAATATGTTCAGTGTTGATTAGAATGTTCATTGAAGTGCATTGCATCTACGGTAAATGCTCGAAAATGCTATACTCATTAGGGGTGTTAATTTAGTGTTACTTTGGAAAATAAATGTAAATGAATCGGTAACACTAAATTAACACCCCTAGTCTGAAGGTCGCTGTGCTGACGAATGTAACCTGATACACGGCATTAGATTATTTAAAGACCCGACAATTTCCGTCGCTTTTAAGGTTAAGTCTTATCTTCTTTTCAATGTATAAACTATGCTTCTTTATAATATTCATGTATTGGGAAGTACAAATTCAACTGAATGTTGCATACAATAAATGGCTCTCGAAAAACGTATTGGCGTTTAGAAATATCAATGATTATAATGCAGATTAATTTCAAACCCTTACACCGCGTAGTTTCATGAATCATTAGATACAGTCAGTTTTGAGATAGAATATCAATATATTATAAGGCTAATGTAACTTACATAGTTCCTTGAATGAATTATATTACTTTGAATTTTTGAAACAAATAAGGAATCATTTGATACCTTGATGTAGTTTTATGTAGATAGAAACATGCTTATTTTACTTACACGTCTTATCGTATGGGTAATGCTAAGCGTAGCAAGTAGAACAAAAAAAAGAAAAGATGAAAAAACTGACATTCTGTTACTCCACAAACAATTCTTTTATAGGTAGTGATGGACTGTATGCTTGTGTTGCTTTTCTTTCGTCCGTCAACACCTATATATATCTAGAATAGAGGTCACGGTTGACGGTAAAAGAAAAGAAAAACATTTGTTTTCCCGTGCAAAACGAAGGAGTTACTTTTATTACTCGAAATTCCTTTTGCTTGGCTCCATCGCACATGTTTGTGAGATGTCGCCATAACAGTGACCCAAATGAATTAGCTTAAGTCCTATACTTTGGAAAACGTTTAACACTCTCGCTCTTCCTTCATTTCAACTGTCGTATTTTAAGCACACAAACTAATCAGAGAGAGTTGGTGAAGATTCCAACTGAAGTTGTTAACAATCATTCTTTTCCTATCAAAAAGAAATAATTATTAACAACCGTTCCGGAACTTTAAATCATAATTTTACTGATCGACTTATAACTAGGCATGCACCAATTCGATAATTCTCAACCGAACGTGTTCGGCCGAGAAACTTGATGCGACCGGACGTGCTCGGACGAAGATTGCAAATACGATAGTTCAGATGTTTCTCATCGGAGATATCGGCGAGCGCTGTGTTGAGGAACAATTAGGACAAAATACCATAAACCTTATAAAGATACATTCGAATTAGGAGTATAACTTTCTGTCTACATTATTTGCACAGTGAGTAAAAGCATTTTTGCATGAAAATAAAGTAAATCAATCTGCTACAGAGGCCATATTGGTAAAAGTGTGCTTTAGTTACTGAGTAACTAAGATATAATCGAAACTACAGGTACTTTGAACTTCCTGGAATAAAACAAACATAAAATTGCTGCTCTAATTCAAAGGACGGGTCCGTAGAAGCTAAAGAATCGGCCCACTTTTTTTTTTTGCTCAAAATGGTCCTGAGACTGTTCTCAATGGTCAACAATTCCAATCATTCGAACTTCAAAGTCTCATCGGTAATACAAACACTGATGATAGCTGAATACATTTCGACGGATATTTATAATTATCAGGTCGTGCGTTGTTTGTGGTAAAATTGACCCGTCAGTGTCGAAGGTCTTGCACGATGAATTGAGAAAGTTCATATTCATGAGACGATCAATTATGGTACCGAAAGGATCCCGATGTTGTGGTAATCATATGAATGGAAATACTGGACTAACATACGAAGCATTTCACGAAATACAAGGTTATATCAGCTGAGCTGCTAGGAAATAATTATTGCTAAGTTACCTTTCCCGTATTTAATTTTAAGGTCATATCGAGGATAATATTACTTTGACAGTTGATGACGTACTCGACTGGTTTGACTCGTTCGCGGATATCACGAGAACAAGAAGGTCTTTTGATTTTGATGATCATCACTCTTTATCGGATACGGATTACTATAATATGACTGGTTTGACAAAAAGTGAATAGCCTAAAAACTAAAAATTTCCTGATTAGTACTGATTATTCTCTCTTTGTTTAAGGTGACTTTGAAGATCTTTTAGGACATTTGTCCAGTTTGAGAAGCACGTTCGTTCGTTCAATGAGAGTTGCTCTTGCTGTTTTTCTTTGTAAACTTAGACTTGGTCTAAGTAACAAAGTTCTTTCATCTCTCTTTGATTTAAAAGATAAACAAACTGTATCTCGGACAGTTCATTGTGTACGCAAGGCTCTCATGCAGACTTTCGTTTCTCAAAATATCGGTTTCGACCATATCTGTCGTCAACAAGTTATTTCCAATCATACGACGTCAATTGCTAGAAAATTATTGACTTCTGATCCAAACTAAGCATGTGTAGTAGTCGATGGTATCTATATTCCAGAACTCTTGAGCACTGAATAAGCAATTGGATTATTTTCTCCTCACTTAGGGAGATATTTTTATATACAAAAGTCCTCGAACAACAAATTTCAACGTCGCTCGTTTAATATTCACAAACACCGATCGCTTCTCAAACCGATGTTAGTCACAGCTACAGATGGGTACATCATCAGCGTTCTTGGTCCGTTCTTATCAGGTTCGAAAAATACTGATGCCGAAATTTGGAAGCACAGTCTGACGACAAATGCTAACAATATTCTAAAGTGGTTTAGTAAAGATGATGTAATCGTAGTCGATAGAGGATTTAGAGATTCGATTGGTACAATGAAAGCACTCGGATTTCACGTCGCCATGCCTCATTTTCTTAATGGAAAAAAGAGAGTAAGAGAACTCATTGGATATATCCACTTAGCACCTGATTTTAATCACTTAATTTAGTTCACGGCTGAAGAAGCCAACACAACAAGATGTATTACTAAGATTCGTTGGGTTGTAGAGAGTGCAAATGGTAGAGTTAAAAGTCTTCAAATTGTGTCAATATCTATAATCGAGATATAAATATTGATTCAAAATATTGTTGCCTTTTCATCACATCATTCTGTGTCTTTTTCATAGGAAAAATAAAGCAATGGGCCTTTTTTAATAAAACAATCCAAAATAGCACGATTGCATATTTATCTGATTATACAAATATCATATGTGGTATTATTAATAAATATCGCACAGCTGCTGTTCTTGATCGCGATAAAGATTCGGAAGTAGGCTATTCGTTTACTGTAAGACCACTTTTCTGACCCCAAAGTAGCTGACAGACTGCTACTATCCGCATTTTCTAATTCACGTTTGTACGTACACTGACCCTATTACCACTTCACTTTGTATTTTTATATTTTAGTACGCTGATAAAATGTTGACTCGTTTGAAAGACACAAATAAAGTGAAAGAACGATTAAGTAGAGAAAATCTTACACATCATTCAAAATGGAAGGATCAGGATGCACAAAATTACTCATTTCCGCAACTAACCGAACAGGAGCTTCGTGATATCACTTTCGGTGAGCTGGACACCCGGGAGAAGATACAAAAAGAAAGTTTTCATGACTTCCCGACTGATTACTGTGCAGTATGCAGCAGTGCATCAATAATGCAAAACAGGTTTCTTTCTTATACAACGCATCTGATATGTACGTTTCGAATATTTCAAGTGAAGCAAGCTTCGTCCTATGTTCAAGAACATTTAAAGCCATCAGCAGCTTTTCCTCAAGATTTTGAGTTTATGATACAGACAGCGGACAATGTTGACAATTTAGTAAAAGTTCTGTATCAATCACGTCATTCTAATAGTGAGATATATAACACATATATTGAATATAACAACGGCATTCTAAATCCAATTTCCGGATGGTTTTGCACTTGTACAGCTGGCGAACGAACTGTCGGTTGCTGCAGTCACATCGCTGCCACTTTGTGGCACCTTTGCTTGAATCAGACGGCTATCCATGACATTAATCAATCACCAAATAATTATCTTAATCTTGTAGAAGATGCTTTACAGTTTTCTGATATGTCACAAGCTAGAAGCTGTTCACAGGTATCAAACCATTCATTAAATACAGGTGTATCATTATCTATATCAACAAAATCAGCTGCATTCATTGTTTGACCACTACTGGTGATATGTAGTAATAAATCATTTAATATTTTTAAATTATTATATTGTTCATCATCTATTGGTTCTGTATTACCTGTTGGTGATATTGCTGGATCATCAGATGTTGCTACTGTTGTATCATTATGTTGTATATCTGTAAAACCAGTTGCACGAAATGTATTTCGTATTGTTGTATCTGTAACAGCTTTCCATGCTGCATCTATCCAATAAATAGCATCTAAAGGTGTAATTTTAATATCGTTTGACGTTTGAGCTATTGTACAACGTGCTATTATATATTTAACTAAATATTTACGATAATGTGTTTTAAATGTGTGTATAACATCTTGATGTAATGGTTGAAGTTTAGATGTAGTATTTGGCGGAAAATATTGTAATTTTATATTTGATAATTTAATATCAACAGGATGACATGGTGCATTATCAATAAATAATATTATTTTTCGTTTTTGTTTTTTCATCGATACATTTAAACTCGATAACCACTCACTAAACAACTTAACATTCATCCCTGCTGTATTATTTGCCCGCCAATCTATTGGAAATTTATTAACATTTAAATTTTTAAAACATCGTGGTTTTAAACTTTTACCTAAGACCAAGTACAAAAACAGACTTATTAAGCACTTAAAGTATTTAAAAATATTTAAGGATATCTCAATAGCAGTACATACCAATTACAAGTGGTTTTAATTTCTTCTCATCAGTTGAATTACCACATAATAAAATAGTATAACGTTCTTTTGATTTTTTACCACCTTTACATTCTTCTTTATTTAACGTTAATGATTTATCAGGCATAGCTTTAAAAAAATAATCCTGTTTCATCACAGTTAAATATACCTTTTGAATCATAGCCATCAATAATTTTTGGTATTCGTTGAATCCAATCATCAACAGTTATCACATCAACAGATGAATTTTCACCACTAATGATGCAATGAGAAATGTTGTGTCTTGTCCTAAATTTTTCTAATCATCCATTTGATACTTTAAATGAACGCAATTTATCACTTAATAATTCAGCTATTTCTCGTGCTTTTTCTTGTAAAATTGGTCCTGATATTCGTATATTTTTAGAACGTTGCTGTGCAAACCATTATACATTTGCTCGTCGAGTTTTTGTGCATTAACATCCATTAATTTTCGCTTAGCGTGTTGATTCTGATTTGTTTCATAATCATGTAAATATTCTGTTTTACGTTTTAATACATTTGATACGGAACCAAGTGAAATATTATATTTTGCAGCTAATTTACGTTGAGATAACCCTTTACCATCCTTATTATCATTTATTAATTCAATTTTTTGCTGCAAAGTAAGATGATGTCGTGATGTCATTCTTTTTTTTCCCTACGTATAATACTGGATTCTGATACACAAAGTCTCAGCTAAACTACATATATATATATATGCTGTCCTAATTATCGTTTTTTTTCTTCTTCTCTGTTCTTTTTGTTCTATATGTTCTTTTTCTTTTCTCTCTCGTCCGAGTTATCATCTTTTCTTGATCTACTTTCATATCTTATTATAGTATAAATTATTATTTGTATTCATTCAATATCACGGAAATGAGACATTTTTGTATATGCCGAAAAAATCCGAGACAATAAGCGAGTGAAATGGACTTCATATATATAAAGGGTGTTCTAGAAGTTCTGAAGTAATTTTAGAATGATGCATTTTAAAATTACTTCAGAACTTCTAGAACACCCTTTATATATATATATATATATATATGTAGTTTAACTTATGCTGTATCCATGGATATGCAAATGAAAATATAATAATAAAATATAGAGGGGAACGAGCGAATAGGAAAATGTACTTTTTTTGTCTGTGAGAGAGTATGATCAGTCGTGACACGTAAGAGAACGTTAACGGACGTTTGAGCGCCGACATTTGAGCGATCCCGACATTTGAGCGAACAGGACCTCGACTCTTCCACGAATTTTTCGTAGTACACATTTGGATATTTCTGGCAGTATTTCGTGGGAGGTGGAGGTGTGAGCAGTATGAGAGTGAGTTCAAAAAATAGTTTCACACAAAACATGTAACCATCGTGTGAAACTGTATATCTGTAACTGTATCACATAGCGCCCATTCACCACATAAGTTCACTTAGATATCATGTCGATCGCTCAAATGTCGGTGTCTCTCAAGTGTCGGTTAATCGTAAGAGAAAGGTGATAGAGATGAAGATAAAAAAGATCATTGCACGTGTGTTCACATTAGAGAGGTGCATTTTCAGCAAAGACCGCTGCGTCGGACCGAGCCCTTGTTCAAAATGGGAGGTGTTCACTAATAGAGGTTTTACTGTAGTTACCTATTAGCAGAAAGATTTAGTAGGCGCTTCTTCAAGCCTAGATACCTCCTTTGCAGCATTTTACAAAACCAATATGGATATCTCATTGGGATACTTTTTTGAATCCTTAAGAAAAGTTTCAGTGCTGGGTTTTTGACGTCAACAAATGATATCTTCACACTCATATGGTGACATTTGGTCAAGTTTTAAAAATAATGAAAATTGTCAGCGTTGCCTTTTTTAAACCTTAGAACACTATTCATTGTGGTGCTGTGTGCAAGGCTGATTACAGTAAACTAATATAGAATCTTCAGAACCTAAAATGATATTAGAATTTGTTGAAAAGGTGCACAGCTCGAAAATCCTCCCTGCCCGTCGTGCAAACCTGCGAATTTTAACTGCTGGAACTGGTCTATTGAAAAAAAAAGTAATCCGTCGATTTTGAAAAATTTTGCGTCGTTCTCAAGAAAATTCATTTTGTTGTTTTCTGAATTTAAGTATAAGATCGGTACTCGACATCATCTAATAAAAATATTTCTCAGTTGCGGATTTCTCTCACAGGAAATTCAGTTTTTCTGAACTATTAATAAAATAAGCCGAAATGCCCTTCTTCGAGTTTTATCGAACCCTTATGAGGATCGAAATTTCAGTAAAATGGCTCTAATTCGGTTCCAATAGTTCAAGGGTCCTTATGCTTGTAGCTCCTTCTTTTTTAGAGATACATTAAATTAAATAAATAAAGATACATTAAATTTAACTTTATCCTAAACCATTTAATAAAGCTTGGCGATACATATCTAGTCATGTACGTCTGATAGCCCGGTCATGTAATAGTTGTTTTTTTGAAGATGAAAAACCTGGAATGATACATTTTCTCAGAAGTTTGCACAAAAGAAGCTTTCGCTGGCATAAATCGCACTGAAGCGCACATTATTAGAAAGCTCTTATCGAGATTTATCGATTGATGTATTAGAACAAAATTTTTCAGATCACTTTAGGTCTTCTATATCACAAAGGGCTCCGGGATTGCTATACTTTTCGTAGTGAAAACCTGTGTTCTGAGAAAAATGAAAGTGGCAGTCGGGAAAATTAATTTTTTCTTATTGCTTGGACTATCAGAATATACTGAGTCAGTCAATAAAAATCCATAAGACAGTTTATTTTTTTAACGTTTTTTTACCGAAACTGTACTATGAGTTGAGCAAAGCGCATGATTGAAGAATCCAAGGTGCCTACTTTTAGAATCCATACTATTTGTGCCAATATCAAAGATTTCTGGAGGATTTCGAACAAACCTTCCAAACGCCCTAAAAACCTGATTTTTCTAAAATTCTGGTATTTCAGTGAAATGTCGGAATCAAAAAGGATTCTAGTCACTTCAGTTCGTAGAGTAAACATTTATGGTTAAAATGAGACGTCTACTAGCATCAAGCAATGCTTTGATCAAAAGTTATGACAGTTTTATTAAGAGCCCTAAAACGTGTGTCGTACACCAGTTCCACTATATCTCAAAAGCGATTTTATCCTAAGTGATAAACACTGTTGGAAAGATTTCTCCGTCAAATTAAGCGCTAGTGAGCTCGGATTGATCTTGAATCGAAACTAAGACATATGGAAACAACGTAAGAGTGCTCAAGTTTTGATTCAGGGCGTCATTATTTTGCAGTGTTGAAACTTATACGCCAATTCTTGCTCTTTTTCCAACTTTTTAGGTGAAATTCTTCCGAAAATAAAACCAACAAAAAACTCAAAAATCTGGCTCTGTTATGTCATTGCTCTAACTTTATTTTATAAGTTAAGATCAACCCGAGCTGTCCAGCTGTTTTCTGAGAGGCGAAATCTGTCGGACGGTAGATGCCCGCTTAAGTTGAGGGATTTTCCATTAAAGTCCTAATGAGCGATATTTTCTTGAGGTGGCAGAGCACATCAACATAAAATAAAATTTGTTTTTCTTTATGTCGTTCTTTACAGAAAACATGTTCAGCCTTATCTAAGGTGGATTGTGCAAATGTATTGGTATTTGACCTAATGTATTATAACCTGCATAACGAATACATGGATGCTTAACAAAGAAGATCAAAATAAATTAATAATACGAAATAGGCTACGAATCAATCAAGATCGATTACTCGCATCAGTTAAAGAACGTAGAAATGGAGATACTAACAGATCTCATAGCCAAAAAAATAGAGCTTTCGAAGGGGCCTATGAGACGTTACAGCAACTGCACCCCAACGGCCCATTTTCTGTCGTATCTTAAAACTGTAATATCTCGCAAGACTGCAACCATTTGAGTCCGGATTGGTCTTATTTGAAAAGCAATCGATAACCTACTCATACGTGCCCGCTGGGTTAAAGTCTCCTTTTGAGCGCCAGAGTCAAAATATCAAAGTTTGGCTATTTTTTGGGGGTATTTCGGACTAGAGGTACCCTTAACTGGAGTTTACTAACCTGAATTTTGCAGCATAGATAGTCCATACAGTATTGCATCTTTTGACGCCAAAACATCGGAGAAACATAACTACGACGAGTCTGAGCATCTCCGACAAGATGCATTGGTCGATGGTATCTGAAAAATAATATAATGGCCAATTTTAGTCGTTTCAAGGTTAACTCAAAATCTGGCTTCAGATTGTTGTTCAGCATGAAAAAATGAATCCGTAAGGGTATATCAGATTTTCTTAGAGGGTCCTATAAATATTTTCACTGGACATAGCCCTGAGTGGTGAGCTGGATAATATAGTGAGCCATATACTTCGACCCTGCTCTACATGTATAAAAACGATTTTCTCCGATAAAACTGACTTAGTATCACATATAGTTCAAAAATTTCAAATATTAACGACATTTTGTAAACACTGAAAAGTGCTATTTACAAAAGTCTTCATCATATTGTATGAACATTGTCTTTCCATTGTGGAAATATTTGTCTGTATGAAGCTGTCATTCTTTTCGGCGTCACTTTACTGTTCTTTACCAAATGATAAATAATAAAGCGTATTAGTTATTACCTGGAAACAAGTAATAGATATTATTACTTTATTACTTTTTTCAAGTGATAATCTTTTATTACTTTACTTATTACGGATAAGAAAAAAGTAGTAAAAAGTAAAATGATGAAAAATTATTACATAAAGAAGCAATAAGTAATAAAACAACAAAATTGATTACCTTTTTACCGGTAATAAGTAACAAACGTTTATTACTTTTACCGGATAATGTAATAATTAGTAAAAGTAAAGTAGTGCCCCTAACGAGGGTGGCAACTGCAATTTGTTTTTCGGAGGACGAAAGTTTTCTACAACAGCGATCGGCGGGACGGCTTAAAATTCGTCCCGTCCTGTCTCGCTCATTCAGCACTCTGTCCCGTCTACCGAAAGTTTTTCTCCTCTGCAGTCCCATCATGTGCACCCACGGGTTTTGCCCCGTGCCATCTCGTCACGCCAAACTTTCATGTCAATTACTATTTTTTTACACGTAAACTGTAAGACGGACGCACGCAAGAAATAATTGCTAACTACAGACCATTTTCTATTCAAATCGGCAGTTGGATTTTGAGTAAGACAGAGTTGGTTTGTAATAAATAGAGACGATTCGTTGGTGATTTTGAATACAGGTACATCTACGGGAGACACTATATGCATCGGTGAAATATGAGTTGAATATGACTGAGCTCTCTCTGTGTAAAACTTCTGACTTCCATTTCAACAACAAGAGCAAGCGGCCATTCAACAGAAAGTCATTCCTAGAGGAGTGACGTTAATTCCCATAAAGAAGTCCCCGGCTTTCTAATTTTCTTGGTTTAGTGTTTTTCTCATGATTTGCAGATGTTTTACTCGATTTATTACTAGAAATCAAATATCTGGGGAGAATTAAATAAACAAATTTTGATTATAAATTTGGGTCTTGGACAGGTCGAGATAGGCATGTATCAAGCTCGAATATTCCACAAAAAAATCAATCTCATATAAACTGAACTCTGGAACAAGCTTGGTGCCAACTATTGTTTGACAACTTTTGATGAAATCAGAGAATGGTGGGACGACTGATAAAAGTCGGTTTATCCAGTCCCGTTCCGTCTGATCATTCTCGCGTTCTGTCTCGTCACGTGTCCCGCGGGTCTCTCACAGACTTTTTGATACCACGCAAGTTTTAGGCGAATAATTATTACACTCCAAACACAGAACAGAAAGTGATTGAGCAAGATTTCGAAGAGATATTTCTGCTGATCCAAAATCATTGGGCTTTTTAGAGGGTCTCCAAAAAGCCTTGTATATCTAACCGTATTTTGAAGTTTTGAGGTAACCAGCAGAAAGAGCAGCCAGAACTGTGTCTGTAGTAAAATTTTGAGTGTTGTCGAACGATATTCTGAAGAGATATACTTATTGGACTTTTGAGACATTCATGTGTTCATGGTACCTCAAGGCCAAATACCCGCTCATGTCATCTTAATTCACTTAAAATTAAAACTCAGCTAGTGTATCTTGTAGCTCTTGATGAACTCTGCAAAACTGTATATTTAGATTGGCGAAACAAGCATGCTATTGAGTGTCGAGTCAACTGCAGCATCCAGCAGTGCAATCAAGGACACGTCTAATGAAGCTACTAATAAGACACTAAAACGCTCTGATATAGCATTTCGGCCTCAGTTTTTAGCGTTAAACATTTATGTGCAGCTTTTTCTCTTTTATTGTTATGAATTCTTTTTTTTACTCTTTTACCCACATACAAACATCAAACAATTTCTTTATCATTATTATTTGTTACATCACTTTTCTATCAGGTGTATGTCTACCATAACTTTTGTTGTAGTTATAAGCTCTTATTCTTTCTGATGTACACCCTTTGGCACAGTTCATGTAACATCTTTTATTATTTCTTCTTTCTTTATTTTTTCTGTTTCTTTTTACTTTTGTGTCAATAAATATAAAAGACAAAGACAAAGACAAAGAATACGAAAAAAATCGTCAAAAGAATTTCGTAAAAGAACTGCTACTAATTTTGGTAGAACGTATTTCGTTCTATCTTTTGAGATCTTACACGACCTTATTCGTTAAGTACTGACAGAGAAAATGTCAATATACTAATAGGAAAGAAAAAAGCCTACATTTTTTACCTCTGAAGAGGTACCGTTCATGTTTCCTTCATAACTCATGAAGTACGTGATACGGAGGGCTAAAAATTTGGATTTATAGATTTTTACTCACGCTCTTTCGTTTCCAGTAGTAAAAAGTTGGGTGTCAAAAATTTGCTTAGTATGTTCATATTCGATGGACAGTCTCTTTAATTTAATTTCAACAATAATTTATAGAAACGCTGACATCGGCTGAGACACTACCGATAGATGAAGTAAGAAATTATGTCAAGTTCGAAAAGAAACGAAGAAAAATATATTTATTCAATTTGTTATTTCATAAATGCGTCTCATTTTTCAGTGGAAAATGATACGAATATTCTATTTTAAAATGTATGGTATGCAGTCGTATCTCCCCCTCTCTTTATTCGTAAAGCAAATAGATGGTATTTATTCATCCACAAATGAAAAAATTCTCTTCGTATCTATTCGCTCACAATCGATAACATAGATATGTAGCTACATGAAAGGAAGATGTATGTTGAAGACACCACGAAGCAATAAAAATACAACATGTAAGCAACAAATAAGATTCAGCTCTGTTCTATGAAATAAAATTTACGTTTATTTGTCGTTCTTCAATTATTTCTATCAAAAAAGTCATTGTAAGTTAAGAAATGAAAGATTCTTTCTATCTCTCAGTATTACGAAACCTCTATACAGTTAAATTTTTATTTAACGTTAATCTCAACAATTGATCAAATATTGAGACAGTTAATATTGCAAATTAAAAGATAATATTGATGTTTACTTTTCTTCCTATTTTTTCAATAACTCAAATATGAAAATAGAAATATATGAATAGAGATAGTCAAATAAACTAATACCGTTTGTATTTGAATGCAACTTTTCACGCAATAAACTCTATTTAATAATTCATCAGCAATAATACAGAATGTGCTTAAAGATATTGCTAAACAGATTGATGAAAATTTTGTCTGTTAATCAAGGTAACCCCTTACTTTTAACGCCATTTTTTTTGTCATCCATACGTCTCCATAAAGAGAAAAAGGACAAAGCAGAAAAAAAAGTGTGTGTATGTGTTGTGCCTTCATCTTTCCTGTTTAACATCAGCGCAAAATTGATGACGATATGATGTAAGTGTGTATGTGTATGAAAACGAACGACGAATAAGAGTAAATGCGTTCTTTATTTGTGGAAGAAAGACAAGGTTAGGTGACACACCACGTGCACACAGTTAAAGAATTGATCAGTTTTTCTCTTTTTGTTTTGCAGAATGTTGTGAGATCATAAATAATAGTGAACAAGCAATGGTGAAAAGTAAAAAAAAGAACGAGGTAGATGACACTGCTATTCCTCATATTAATATCTTGTTACTTATCGTCGGTACGAGAGGTGATGTACAGCCTTTTATCGCGTAAGTCTGCTTTTTCTTTACTAAGAAATTTTCTCTTCTTTTTTCTCATGTTGTAGTCTCGGACAAGCACTTCGTGAAGTCGGTCATCGTGTTCGTCTAGCAACACACAATACATTTCGTAAATTTGTCCGTGACAATGGTCTAGATTTTTTCCCACTGGCTGGTGATCCAGCCGAATTAATGTCTTTCATGGTTAAAAACTCAGGTATAATACCTTCAGTGAGTAGTCTCGCTGCAGGAGATCTTGCAAAAAATCGTGATGTTTTAACGAAAATTCTTGCATCGACTTGGCTTGCATGTACGAGTGAAGACGATGAAACTGGAGATACATTTACCGCTGAAGCCATCATTGCTAACCCACCATCTTTTGGTCATATTCATTGTGCACAAAAGTTAAGAATTCCTTTGCACATTATGTTTACTATGCCATGGTCACCCACAACGGCTTTTCCACATCCGTTAGTTAATGTTGATTATTCAAAAGCATCTATCGAAAAAGTTAATATGTTATCTTATAGTACCATTGAAATGTTTGTAAGTATTTAAAATGAACTAGAGACATTCTAAAAAGTACCATTCGATATATACATTTTCACATCGTATTAATAAAAGCGAAAGCTGTTGTCTTACTGAACTTTCTTTTTAATAGACTTGGTCGTGCATGCGTGATATTGTGAATAAATTTCGCAAAGAGACGTTAGGTCTTCCAGCGTTACATACACGCCAAGCAACATTTATCATGATTGATGAACGCGTACCTTATACTTACTGTTGGTCGCCAACACTCGTACCAAAACCGAATGACTGGGCATCGCATATCAATGTTTCAGGCTTTTTCTTTTTGAAGCACGATGCTACTGCTGCCAGTAAGCAACCGGATGATCTACTCAAATTTCTTGGTCTTAATCGTACTCAAAATGATCAAAACTCCTCACCGCCCATCTATATTGGCTTTGGTTCGATTACAGGACATGATTCTACTCGTCTTCTAAAAATCGTACTTGAAGCTCTCGAAGAGACTGGTTATCGTGCTTTACTTTCTGGCCTTGCTAAAGATAGTGATGAATTACCCGATACTGTCTTTAAAATCGGCAATGTCCCACATGAGTGGTTGTTCCAACATGGTAAGTATGGTGTGACATTGTTTGTCCGAGTAGAAATCTTTAAAAGTGCTATATCTTACAATTTGTTTCTGTAGTATCCGCCGTATGTCATCATGGTGGAGCGGGTACAACTGCATCTGGTCTTCGCGCTGGCAAACCTACAATCGTTGTTCCCTTTTTTGGAGATCAATTTTTTTGGGGCAATGTTGTTGAAAAGAATGGTGCCGGTCCTCATCCAGTTCCAGGAAAAGATATAACTACGAAAGATTTGGTGGAAGCTTTTAAATTAGTTCATGAACAAAAAACCAGAGCTGCTGCTGAACGTATTCGTGACGCTATATTAAAAGAAGATGGATGTGGTGAGGCGGTACGTATGTTTCATGCTCATCTACCCCTATCACATCTACGAAGTGATCTTGAACCAACATTTGCTGCATGTTATCGCTTGAATAAGTTACATTTACAAATTTCACGGCGTGTAGCACAAGTACTTGTTGTAGCAGGTCGTATAGAAGAATCACAATTACTCATACATCCTACTCAAAAATGGCTTTCAATTCATGATAATCGCATCCATATACCATTGCATGGTATTGTAAAGCATACTCGAATAGCCGTCGTGGATATTATTTCCGACACTTCTACGGGTGTCAAACGAGCTATTCATTGTGAAAATTGGAAAAGTGGTACATGTAGTGTTGTCGAGGGTGTATTCAAAGGTTTAGGTAAAGGTATTGGTCATTTATGCATTGGTTGTTTGTCATTATATGGAGAATTAACTGATGTATTAGATTGTGCTCCTTCAGTTTATGATCCATACAGGTAAGCTCAGTTTTTTTCTGTTATACAACTGTACTCTCAGGTCATTTCGATCGTATATGGCACAAAAAAAAACGATTTGATAGTGTAATTGAACGCACATAGTAGAGATATATAACTTTTTTAGTGCGTCAGAAATTCGTTCTCGACCATATATTATCAATTTCAAATCGGGTGTCAATGCAGCTATACTCTCTTTATGCTATGGATGGAAAGATGGGATTACCGATCTTGTCAATACACCACGCATTGCCTATCAACGTCATGGAAAATTAGGTAGTGTGGCCGGAACATTAGTGGCTCTCGCTAACGGCATAGTAAAACCTGCAGTAGGAACCCTTTCATCAGTCACATGGTTGTGTCGGGGCCTCTATGCATCTCTAAATCAGTTTTTGGTAGGCGACAAAGGTGAGGAAGCATGTACTAACAATACACTTGGTCTTGTTTCACCATTGCCGGACACTACTGACGAAGAACAGCAACAACAAAATGGTAATAATATTTCACGGGCTGCTATCGCTGCGTCCGCTGTGACAGGCTTTCAACCTCAAGTATGTCAGCAAATTTTGTTGGAATTCGATGAAATCAAAAAGCAACAACTCGATCATCATTCTCATTGGTATAAATCCCAATAGCTATGTAATGATTTCGTACACATTTATGTATATATGTCAAACAAACAGAGGCCGGTGGAACAGGCGGGCTGCGGGACAAGACGAAGCGAAACATTTTGGGTGGGACGGAACAGGACTGATTTTGATGATGATCCTGCAAAATGACTGATATATAGGCAGAAATTTTTCAACGGGCACTCACCTTGATCCAAATGTTTCGCTCCGCATTGGGTTCCGCAATACACTGGATTTCAACTTTTTAACCTTGATATCATGTACGTTCATAAAAACGTGAGGAAGCATATCCCGATCGCCATTAGGCATGCACCGATTAATAATCGATGTTATAGCATCTAGCAAAGCCGTTCCGAATCAGTTATAAAAAGCACTTAGAGCTGCCGAATGTCTCATTTTGTAGAAAAATGTTTGCTTTAACTGAAGTGCAAAAAGACATTTTGGTGTTATCTGCAATAGAAATATGAGTATCCAAAACCGAACAAAATTGCAAAAAAAGCGACTGTCGATTATTTTTCTATGATTATAGTGCGTTTTCGATTTATTGTATTTTCTCTATATATAACATCAAAATTTTGTAGCACTTCAGTTTGGTAGAGGAAACATTTTCCTACAAAATGAGGCATTCGGCAGCTCTAAGAAGTTTTTTTATAACTGATCTGAAACAACTTTGCTGAATGCCTTAGTACTGATTATTAATTGGTGCATACCCTAATTGGGTTATATTTTGATTCAAAACGGGAAATAAAGCATATGTCTGTGCTGTAAAAGTAGGCTGAACTCAAGTGACCCAGTACCCAATAATATTGTGAAAACCCAATATATTGGATGACCAATAATTATTGGTTCCAAAATATTAGGTTACCAATATTATTGGGACCGAATGTATTGTATTGGTGCATGCCTAGTCTCAGACAATGTTTTCTGTCTCTCTTCTGCTCTTCCTTCGTTGAATGTCAGTTCCGTTCCGTTGTTCAAAAAGATTGAAGACAATATAATGTCCTTTTGGAAACCGCGTGCCAAGAACTCTCTGTCTCCGCGTCGACTTCATGCCATCTCAATGACGACAGTCGGTGCTGAAAGAGCCTTTAGTCGGGATTGTTGATTTTCGAGGGATCTCCGAACAAATCTCTCACTGTCTGAAGTTGAACACATCGTTTTGCTTATATCACCTTCGGTGAACAGCGCTCTCTTTTGACTTTAAAATGTGCGAACAGCTCGCTTTGTCGAGGGGCTAGGAGACAGAGAACTTTTCTCGTTTTCTAGCAGGTATGTTCCTATGTGAAAAGAAATGGTACATAATACGTGAATTAGAATACAATAAGTAAAAAGAGTTTTTACAAAAACAATTTTGGCGGTACGAGATGAGACGAAAAACTGATAAGTAGGACGGGATGTGACACGATCTAGCGAGAGATGGTACGCGATGGAATGCAGCGAAAAACTTTGGGTGGGGCGGGACTGAGCGTTGGCTGGTGGAAACGTCCTTCCGCCGGTCTCTGCAACCAAGCACTATCACGTACATGTATTTTACTCTTGCAACCAAAGTCCGGTTTCTACTTTTAGACATATTTTTCTTGATTTTTTTGGTACAACATATTTTTTGATCAAAATAAATTGGATGTACATTGTTACTTTCCTGAAATATTTATCTCGTTTATTTTTAAATGTCTCTGTAGTTTTCGTTAGGCTGTAACTTCAGGGATCAATCTGCTAACAATATTTTTTATGAAATAATTAAAAATATGATGAAACTGTATCCGTTTTTGGCAACCACTTTCATAAATGTGCATTACTGTTGATCTAAACCTACCATGTGTAATCCATCCCCAACATGAGATATGGGAGTTTTATCAAAAAACTTTCGTTAAAATGAAGTAGGCATGCAACGGTTACGGTTATTAACCGTTAACCGTAACCGCAAATCACCGCTTTATAACAACTTAGTGTATACTTAGTTTTTAGTTCGTTGATATCGGTTTACATTAGAAGTAGATAATGATGGTCTTTCTCCTGACGTTATAGTGCACCTACTAATAAATTTGTGAAAATTCTAGGGAATAGGTAATCGCCTATGAGAAATCTGAAAATGAGTATGAGCAACCTCTAGGACGCATTCTGTCGGTCAGAAGCCTACTTTTGCCTTCATTAGATGAAAATGGAACAGAATAGGTTATCGACTATGAGGAATCCGAAAATGAGTATAAGAGACCTATTCTATTGCTAAGAAATGTCCTGTCGGATTCCGAGATCTCACAACACGCTATTCGAGGAGAGACAAGCACTACCTGTTCGCTTATCGTCAAGGTTTCGGTTTCGGTCAAACACTTCTTTCGTACAACGGGCGCACAGTGGGCATATAGGCGGAAATTAGGCGGAAAATCGAAATAATCCTTTTTTCAAATATAAATAGTGCAAAATGTAGCTCTTGAAATTGTCTATCGAATGGTGTATAAATGTCTATTTTTAACT